AGTCAAGGGTGATACTTAATTGCCAAACAAGGACCGACATAAAGACATTCTCCAAGATCAGCTTGAAGATTGGATGATACTGTTTACCACATTACTTTCGATCAAATTTTTCAAATACCACACAGCAATCATAGTTTCATCACTAGAATAACAACAACTACTACTATATAACGTCAAAATTGAGCTTCAACGAGGAAAAATGATCGGTATCCAGTATGTCTATTGAAAGTTGTTTCGTGAGCAATTTCCACCATTCTACCGTTCAGTGGGGGATAGGGAGCCTAGTGGCTGAATACGATTCCCACATCAATGATTGGTAGTGAGTCTAAAGTCCCCCTCTCCCACACACATCCAACAGTATCATGGCAGTCTATTTAGTTTGTTGTGCAACGAGTCAACGAGGGATTATGTTCTTCTTATCCCCCATTGATTTAGAGACCATTTTATTGGTTGAATAAATTTAAACCATCGCCACTACCCAGTAAATACATCCCGTTATACGAGGTGTTGTTGTAGCTTCTTTATTGGATTATAATTAGATTCTGTATAGACGATTCGTTAGGATAAACGTGCGGTCCGCAGAAAACAGCTGTTTGTGAAACTACCAATTGTTCGACCGCATTAGGAGACATAATTTTTGCAATGTTTATGGGCACAAATGACTTTTTCTTGCCTTAAAATTGATTAAAACCAGCCGTTGCGACCGCAATTATTGTTCTGTTTGCTTCTAATTTCGCCTTAGTAGTTCTGGTGACTAGGACGACCAAAAAACTCAGGCCCGTAAGGTATGAGGCATGAATGATCCCCATTGTTGGCCATATATTAAATGGGGACGGGTGGGGAAGCTCATGGTCCGGAGGCGTACGGACTCACATGAAATTCGTGTTTCCCGTGCGCGACCTGGGTCAGTTGCCTCAAGACACGAGGCATTTTGACCGATGAATTGACCAGTTGAAACTGTCATCTGCCTCACTTCTGGGAACATATTTGCACCGGTCTTTACACTGGTCTATTTGTTATCTCCTTCACCGCCAACGTTACATAGCTCAATCACACTCTTTTGGCACTGTGGGCCATATAGGAATATCAGATATATCTACAGCCTAAATATGTGCATGTATGCGTATGCAAGCGTGTGTGTATGCAGACATGGATGCATGCACATATGCATTTGACCTTCAGCTATCGCGTGAGGTCATCGGACCAAATCCAATACATTCTACCCTGATATTTGATGGGTCAATTAACTTTGAGTTACTTTCGTTTGGACAACAACGACTACGACGACGTGTGGAGGGGAGAGGTGCAAGTCGGTGGACAGGAAATTGGTTGATGGAAGAAGGGGTTTCTATCAAGTGAAATGTGAAGACAACGGGTGGAAGAGTTTAGCAGTATGGAATCGCTTTGAAATGAAGTTCGATCGCTGGGCTTAACACCACCCCTGATCAGTTCTGAGACTAGGGCAAGCATCAGTGACAGAGCGTTCGATTTGTAAATTACCCTGTAGAATGGATATCATTCTTGTCCATCTCACAGTCGATTGTCCTCAGCCGTCCGTACATTCATCTGTACTCATCCGTGCATATGTACATTTATACAGAGGAACAGGAACAAGCACACACACACAAACCTTGAGTACGTGCGTATATATGGGAACACTTAATTTTCCAAAAGCCCAAGGACAGACCGGTCCCCCATTTGACTGGTGACCTTTGTTGACCAAATTGGACAGGACTGTACGTCGAAACGCCTTGTCCCTTCTGCGCTTGGAAGATATGGCTAGTAGTATGCCCCCAGAGAATTGTTTCGTGAGATCTATCTGAGTACGAAGCGAAATTAAACCCGGGGCTTAGGAGAACAGAAATTTTTTTAAACTGAAGGAGCTGGAACAAAAGGAGAATGACCATTTAGTTAGAAGGTCAGTTACATTCAGTTTTCTAAGTAGCTTTCATATTATCCGAAACGTTTACGCGTCTTGATATTTCATCGATCAGAAGTTGGAAACTTAGCCTAATTCAATGCGTGGCTAAAGGCCCAGTGAAGCCCAATGTACCAGATCGGGGTTTTATGTGTAGAAACTAGAAAATCATAAATGGATTTGTGCAAAGTTACTGTTTCGCTTTGTATAGCAGCGTGAGACAATCAAACGGGTCAATCTCGTTGTCATCGAGTGGTGCTACTAGCCGATTTTCTTACCCCAGAGAGGTGGCGGTTGAAGAAATACCCACTTTGAAGTCACAGTTCCTATAGAAACGGACCAAAAACGAACCCGCACCACTAGCGTCCACATATCAGACGATTTTTTTATTACACACGTGATGAACAGTAGACGGGGTGAATCCCATAGTCACGAAGACCTGTTGTTTAGTCATGGGTATCGGTAACCTAAGGCTCGGGACTTCGAGTGGCGAACCACACAAGGCCCCACTAGGTTAGGCGTAGTATTGAACCGGATGACAGCAATCCTGCCCACCATAAAAGTTGGGTGGCGGTTACGGGGCTCGAATCTCGAACCGTAGGGTTCGAAGCACGCCGGTGACATCGACTAAACCTCTGCGCCGCCACCACCTTGCTGATGAATCACACATCGAAAAGGACCCAGTTGTGAAAAATAGTTCCAATATACAATAAAAAACGTGGACAATAGGATTGTTGCACGATATTCAGTCTAAATGTGGCTGTCCGTGATGGAAAAGTTATACTTAGCTGCACTGATAAATTGGTCAACCGGACTGTTTATTTAACCATCTGAAAAAGTTCAGTCCTTGTGACAACTCTGTGGGAATGAAAGTGCAGAATGGAGACTGCGGCTGCGGCTGCAAGACTCTGTTCCAGTTGATACAACTATCAACGTTAAACATTGAAGAAGTGAAGGGGAGAATTGGGAATCTGGGAGGACTATGAAGATTGTATCACAGTTTAATGATGTTTTAAATTGATTTTCACTGCTTCGGTGCCACCCCATGCAGTAGTTTAATCATGTGCCACAACAGCAATGTCAAAATAAGCGCGAAGCTTACGCACGGGTGAGCGGATACCAGAAAGTAATTTGGGAAATGTTTGGCCCATGTTTGATTAGCACTTGAAACAACCTAGAAAGCAAGCACCATTAATTACAAGATATCCAAAAAGCAGAATAATGTTTTTAAAATAACTTATTTGGTGGTTAATAACACTAGGTAATAGTAAAAGCTATTATAGTCTCATGGGTATACACATCTATCGCTTGTAAGCGAATACAGTATTCTGTTGAGCACACCACACAAAATCTCCGTGCCCTGGTTATTTTCAAGCTAGAATCATCAACAATCTATCGCACACCTGAATGAGATAATTCTCAATGAAACAGTCCACACATAGACGGGAGAAGTGGAGCCTGGAATCATATTGAAATTTTTATTCCAGGCGTACGAACATATCTCGGCTACATGCTACTCTGGTAGATTAAAATAGGAATGGTGAAGTGGACCACCTGTTGTCCAGTTTTACTGAACAGGGCAAACACACGGTAACGGATGGGCAGAGTACAAACCTAGGCGATGCTTGGGATGGGTGACTAGTTGGAGCCAATCAGTGTCAACTAATCAGAACGAAATTCGATCGAAACAGGCGCCGTATTGCCCCACTTTGGTCGCACGTCTTGTGCACGGGCAGTGCAGATAAGAACAACATGCAAAATTGTGGAGACCTTAAAAATGAGAGCAGCCGAATAATGGTAAGTACTGATGCTTGCCGCTTGGCAAGCTATCTGTGACATCAGGATATGGATGGGGTGGGGCTGATCGTTCGAATGCTTCACGAGAATGAGAGTGCAGTGGAAGTGAGTCACCTGGCGCAGAACAAAAAGCTATTAGTGATAAAACAAATATCACCCTTTACTAATGACATTGTCAATAGAAATGAACCCGCTGGGTTGATTCAATTTTACGTTCATCGCGCCGTTTGCAATGCATGAAACCACGTCCGATTGAAGGCGGTACATTCTTTTCTGGCTAACAGTGTTAGGATTCAACAACAAAATTAATGTCCCACGGAATCTTGCACCAACTGTTTAATCGAATAATCCTAACTGTAACTAACGAGATCCTCGTCTGTGTAGGTCATGACAACAGACATACTTTTCTCTGTTTTCAATTTTGTTTTTGAAAACCATTCTGTGAGGACTAGTAAAACGTGTAAACCACACAGTCGTGAGAACCCATTGCTCACTTATGGGACCTATTAATCAAAACGCTGGGACTTGGCCTGGTGAAACACACAGCATAGCCACAATCTGGAGCCGGGAGAAGAAGAGGCTGCCTCCCATCAAAATTGTGTGGTGATGGTAGGGTCGAAAGAACGCCAGTGATAACGACCGTAGGACTGTTTGACTTGCACCACCACACGTCACTTCCTTCCACTCAACATATCAACATTTACAAAGAGATTGGAACTTGACTAATTTAAAGTAACTAATGCTTACCGATAAGGTTTCAGAATCACTGAGAGTCAAAATGGGTATGGTGCACAAAAAGAGGTGGAATCGTTTTACCCTGAGATTTCTATCCTCACTAGCAGTGAAGTCATTTTAATATAGATCTAGATATGTAAAAGTTGTGTTCACACGCGCAAGAAACTCGAGTAGCTATACAAAGTCAGGCGAGTCGCACATTGATTAAGTAAAACATGGAATATTTAGTAGAATAGCACAACAAAATAATCATTTATTTTACATTTATCAGTAATACCTAAAGTTCATTCAACACATCGTGGTGAAGGACCAAACAACTATTACTGTA